TTTTGCCCAGAAAACTCCACCTCTAACTTCACAATTATCCAAAAAATCAAGAAATTAACAAAAATCAAGCAGGGTTCATGCACAAAATGGAGAAAATGAACAATAATTGCCTAAAATGCAAAGCATGGCATAGTTATATTGTACATTCCAAACACAAACTGCAGTAGCAATTATAACACAAAATCCATATTCAATTATCAGCTCCAGATTCAGAGCAACAATAAAACTGAAATCACGGTATTTTTCTAGGGACACACACAGCAAAAGAGCTCAACTGGTTCCTTCTGAAATTTGCTGCTGTGTAACATTATGCAGTGGCATATAAAATTGGATGATGGAAACCCAGAAAAAGTGCCTGAAATTCTCAGTACATTCTACACCTATAGGCTTAAATAAATCCATTTTGAGGGCTCCATTATACCTACCACACATGAAATTTTTTCACAGCTACAAATGTGATAGCTCATGCTTTTGCTTCCTCACAGTATACAGCTCCTCCATGAACGGAAAGCATTTAGTGAACAGAAGAGAAATGTAGACAGGCTCTAATTTTCTGCACAGTGGCAAGTGCATCCATTATGTGTTAGAGTCACTTTGCTCAGAAAGAGTTAACTTTCTAGCTCCTATTCTCTGCAGTGCTGCATAAACACTGCACATTATTCTTACTGAGCATGCTTCATCTTTCCTGTCTCCACAGTCTTGGGCTGTCAATCACCTGTCACTCCCTACCACATCAGCACAGTGCGCATCACCAGGCTGTCAGCACAGCAGCTGATGAGACTCTGCTAAGAGCTGTCAATCAAACTTGTTTCTCTTATCTGTTCGGGAAATATTTTGTCTCCAAGAAACAAAGAACCTGGGCAACAATGGATCAGAGTCTAGTATTTACTCTTTTAGAGGGATGAAGGCTCTTAACAGGAAATGAATGTTTTATCCACAACAAGGAAAAAAAAAATCTGCTCCATTAGGCATATTTTCTTTTCTGGTTTTCTTTAAATCCTATTTACTTCTTAACTCAATAAATCAGAGCATAATAAATTAAAGCAAATTTATTTTTCACTGTAAAATGAATTTCATGGATTTACTTTTATCTTCTATTGAATATAATTCAGTGCAGTTTAAAACAGGTAGCATCTCTGGTTTGGGAAATCTTTCCCTGACTGTAGACACTGGAATGTGTGAGCTTTCTCCCTATCTCACTGTAGCCAAAAAAGACAGACTACAGAAAACACACATACTTTACACCTTTGTTTCATTAAAATATATATTTTCTGTAGCATTTCTCATTAAAACTAAATTTCAACATAGAATTTAATAACATGAGTAGAGTTCATAGATAATAGACCAAAAAATAGCTGAAGGGTATAGGCAAGCAGGAGAAAAACATACATTTTCAGTGGATGTTTGAAAGAAGATACTATCTTCTCTCTGGAATGCTGCACCAGGGAGAAAGAACTGCAGAAGGTAAAGTTCTTGCATCCACAGATATAAAATACTGAAGAAAGACAAAAAGAGCTGCAGAGATGGGCACAGCAGTGATCTCAGGTCTCACAGAGAATCTCTGCATTAAAAGTTGAGCTGGACTTTCAAGTGCACATCTATCCAAGGCAGAATAATGTTCAGCAAAGATAACTGGTGTAGGTCTAACAAACATGGCAATTAAATTAATTAGCACTGGTGGATCACTGAACCAACAGACCTCTACTCTTCCCAGGGCAGAAGTATCTTTACGTGCTGTGCCATATATACACAAGCACATTTAAATGTAGCTCGAGTATCAGTACATTGTGCTGTCTCATGCCAAGTGAAGTAAACATAGCCCAGTGACTTCAAATCCTCATCTTGACCCATATCTGTTTTCCCCTACAGGATAAAGAGTTTCAGAGCTGACAGACAAGGAAAAACACCACGGATTTAAGAGGGCAAGTAGCAAAGGGAAGCAAACCACTTTTCTCAGTATAGAGAGGAATACTGTAAAACACAGTAATGTGAAAGGCAGGCCTAAAAATATTTGGTGTTTTCCACAAAGCTTCAGTCTGGGGCCATGAAATTAGATAAGCAGCTTAGTTTTCCAAGACAAAACAAAGTGAGTTTATAATCCTTGCACTCTCTTGGACAGGACTGTATATTAGAAGTTTAAAGAAATGGAAGGCAAATAAAAGTGGGTTTTTTTAAAACCTTGTAACACAGAGACAATGATTTACATGCCTGATTCACGTGCTCTGAGCATCTGCATCGGCTGTGGGAACTGGCTGTCCAGGTAAAAACAGAGGGCAGAGGTGAGGCTGCAATAGGAAACCCATGGAAAGGAAAAGTTTAAAGCAAGCATGGAAAGGAAGCTCCCTGAGAGGTTTGGGAACTACCATCAAGATTAGAGAAGAGCAAAACACCATGCTCCTCCTCATCTCTGGTGGCTTAAGGCAAGATCCAGAGAGATCAAGACAGCAAGAAAGGAAAAGGACTGGGAAGAGAAAAATTCTGACCATGGACAATATAACACTAGCTGTCCTTTCCCCACATACCCCACAAGATTTTTTCTGGAATTTAGTTGCTCCAGAAGAAAATATTTTAGTTTCCCAAAGAGGGAAATTATTGCCCAAAGGAAAGAGAACGAGGTGGCAGCCAGAACCAATGCCAAAGATGTAAGCAAATCTCTCAGAGGCTGAAGCAACACAAAGGCAGGCAATTTTGAGCTGAATCCTGCAGCAAAGGCAAGAGGTCAGCATCTTTCATCACTTTCAACTCTATAAATGGCTTCTTAAAGGATGCCTATTTCTCTTTTCTGAGGCTTAATCTTGGTTGCCTCCATTACTGTTTGTGCCCGCAAGAGTAAGAACAATTTGTCTCTTCCCTCAGCCAGCTGCAATGTCTTTAATGCCCCCTATGTAGTAAAGAGCTTGCACAGTGGGAAAGGAGGCAGGTGTCTTGCTGGGGATAGTGCAAGTGGAGACAAGGCACTTCAGTTTGATCTCTTCTAGAACTCCGTGCTCGGTGCTGGCACCGCTCATGTTCTGGCCTACCACCAGCCCACTGCCCAATGATTTCACCAGTTACTTGGAATAAAGGTACTGGGTGACGTGACGGTCTTTAGGAGATACAAAGACCATAGACATAATGGAACATGCAAACAGGTTGGGCCCACAAAACAGTGACCTTGATCAGGTCTCTGTGCTCAGCAAGGGCCTGCTACAGGTAGAAGCAATTTCCTGTTAATATTTGCAACCAAAGGGGAGCAGGCTGCTCTGTTCTCAACTCCTGGACATCTTTTTGGACACAAGCTTCCCTGGCAGGAAGAAAGGGTTGCTCTTAACACACAACTTCCACCCTGCACCTTCCCCAGGCAATGCTGGAGGTGTCCCTCAGCAGGCACTTGGACAACATGCACCCACAAGGCTGCTCTCAAAACTTGCTCAGATGGCAATGGAAATGCCAGACTCTAACAGCTCAAGCATGCTCTTTAGAGTATCACTAAATAGGAATATTGCTCATGTCAGAAACAATCACTAATACTGTAGTTCAGACTTACATAAATTTTTACTAATGAAGGAAAGGAAACGAGAATAAAGAGAAAGAGCTCTAAATGCTGAACTTTAATTCTAGATGTTGAAAATAACAACACCAAAAGCAACAACAGTTTGTGCAGATGTCAGAAATTAGAACCAAAATATGTTGTGTACCAGGCACTTTTAAAAACATGCCTACAGTAATTTGATCTTTCAATCACACTTATCAGCAACAATGCTAAAACCCACAGTACTGCCCCATACCAAACCATCCGGTTACAGATAGCACAACCATTATCAAGCATTTGTGACAACAGGAATATTTTACTCTTTGACAAATTCTTTCATATGCAGCACTGTTTTGCAGAAACACAACTCCTTCTGATCTAACTGGACATTAATTGCTTTTTGGCTGACGTATCTGTGCCTTCTGGACTGATAACACAACTAGCAAATCTGATATCTGACAAGTTGACTCAACCTAATCAGGACAGATCAGCTGTTACCAGCATTGCTATAGGCTGTAATTTGAGGACCTTTACAGAGTTATCACTTGCTTTGAAAGGCAAGAAACTGTAATTCTGTCAACACTAATCCCAGAACATGCGTTCAAAGTGGCTGTTATTTTTTCCTCCAGGAGAAGGTAACACTTGTCAAATAAATACCTGAGATAATTGATAAAAGGAATTAGGAGTATGTGAGTGATACACCAACAATCAGTCACTCTCATGAAAAAGAAGAACCTTGCAGGATTCAGAACACTAAGTAGAGAGCACAAGCTGTCACTGTGAAGCAGGGGTCACTCTGAATGGAGTGAAACAATTGGCAATGCAGTTTTTCAATGTTTACTTATCTCCCTGTTGCTTAGTGCTAAAGCTGACTGAATTATTCACTTCAAACAAATTGATGAATTTTACTCCTTTTTCCTGCTCAGAAATGGATACCAATGCCATCAGAGTTATTCATTGCTTCACTTCCATTCAAGCTTCCATTTAGTGCTTGATTGAGAGTGTTTTAGACTTCCGCTGCTGTTCAAACAATATGCAGGATAGGTCCTTAATGTGTGCAAACAGAACAGATCCACAGAGCTGATGGAACCAGCAAGGGTATAGCTTTTGGTATATATATTTTTTTTATACCAAAATTTGCTACAAAGTTCCCTTTGTGTAAACAATTTTGCCCACAAGACTCAACACTGCAAATGTTTGCAGAATGCAAGCATAGCCAAAGAAAATTAATAGAAAAAATTCCAAATAACATATTGGATTATTTGCCTTACTCCGCCAGGAAATAATTTTTCATGCAATAAAATTCAGAGGAGTTCCTCAAAAAAAAAAAAAAAAAAAAAACAGATTCCCAATCCATGCACTTCTTAAGGGAACTTGACGGTCACTGAAAAAAAGTGGCTTTCTCATTGGCAGGTTTGCATCAGATTTTTATAGGTAACTGTGTTTAGAAATTCAGGCTTAAAATTAGAATAAAAGATATCTCACTTACTGTATCGCTTTGGTCCATCTTCCAAACAAAATGAAAGCGTTAAAGTTGCATCATCTTCAAAAAATTCAGTTGCAAAGGCATCCCACCAGAGGTTGTCACTATCCTAGGAAGTAAACAGATCATTCACTTAACAGGAGGCAAAATGAAAATATGTTCATCTTTTGTAAGAGAAATTCAGATACAGTTTGTCCTTCTTCGCCTGTGATTTTGGAGTGTAGATGTCTATATGACATTTCAAACTCATTTTCCTGGATAAAGTTCTTGGTCTAATTTAAGCAAAAAGCTAAAATATTTAGTTTATTATACAATAAACTTTCATTTTACCAAGCACACAATAAATATGTAATGACTTTCATACTCATAAATACATGTTTTTCTTCAAATCTTAAAAATGGTTTTATAAACCAATAGCAAATATGGCAATTATGACTTTCTCCCCATATTTCTGGGCTGTGTATCTCAAATGCTTGATCCTAATAATGAAAAAAACCCTCCGTACTCAATTCTATAATGCTACATAACCCAATTATCAGCATGAGCTGACAAGAAAGTTATTTAGAAATTAAATATAATAGCCATTCCACTCCAATGCCTTTAAAATAAATACAATGCCATTGCAGGTTGATTAAATACCAGGTAGTTACTTAAATGTAATTGTTATGAGAAATCCTTACTTTTCATGTTACGTGAAGACAATATTTTAAGATGAGCTGTGCATACTTAGAGGTACAGTAATACATACAGCAAGAATTAATATAATGTACAATGTAAAGCTTATACCAGTATACCAATACAGGTGGTCTGTGGCTTTTCACAGCTGAACCAGGCATTTTCAGACCTGAGTGATCCACAAAAGGCACCCAAACCTTGATGTCTAGCACCTGTGCAAGTGATCCAGCTCACAAGGGTTTTCACAGAAGTCAGTTAACAGAATCCACCAACTGCTTCATTGAAAAGCTACAGATATATTAAACAGATGTATTTAAAATGTTTGGTGCTCATCCGCTGCTTTGAGACCCTGAGATTTGAATCATCTGCAGCATGCAGGATCAGAAACAAAGCTGGAAATACACCTCTGAAGATGCCCCAGTTGCACTCCTCAGCACCATTATATCCCACTCATGACAGCTGCCTTACAGGATGCAAGGTCAGGTTCACTCAGTGTAGTGAGCACCAAGCACCGCTTAATGCCTGAGCAATATAAAGCAAAGTCAGAAAACATTTGTTCCCTGGGATAAAATAAAAATTTAAGACAAAATATCCATCTAACATACTCATTATATATACACAGAGAAATAACTATCTTGGTTTTTTAGTTCTGTTCCCGTTTTTCCTAAAGACATTACTACTGATTTTCATTCCGAACTGATGAGCAGTATATTCTTCCTGCCTCACAACTTTGATTCTTGTCAATCATCCAATGGAGGAATTATAAAGACAGGTTTTAGCATTCCAGGTCCTACCAGAGACCTCTGAGAGACTTCTTGGCTTCCTTGCCAACACTCCCCCTTCCCAGCAGCGTCAGGACAACATGCAGCCCAGCTCTGTGGTACTTGCTCAAAATTCAGTCACACAGAGTAAAAAACCATCCCCACATCTTAGGAATCTGTTGCCACAGACAGCTGCTGCTCTCTCCTCTTTGTTGGTGTAAATCTGATGGGTGTTTCTGTGTGCAAACATCACTGCATCTACTAGCCAGGTAACCACAACAGCAAGTACAGGATATATACACCAGGTGCTCAAGAGGTGCCTAGCAAACAGCTTCTAGCAACACACCTCTGCACACCCACCCTTCACTTGGGACAGCCTGGTGGGTGACATTCTAAGCCCATAAAAGAGTGTATTGTCCAGTAAGGAATTACGAGCTACCATTTGCCAAAAGAGAGGCTGCTGTATCGCTTAACTTGGATCTTTTGGACATACTTGTTGTAGGGAAGGAAGGATTTAAGCAGTATCATACATGCATTTGCACCTCTCATTAACTCAGTAGGTATCACTGGAGCTACTCCTGCAGCACCCAATTACATGGGAAGCAAAAGGGGATCATCACACATCTGGGATGCAAAAGCACATGGGAAAGATAGAGAAGAGCAGGGAAAGTGCAGGGCCTCAGCTCAAAACCACATGTATTTGCACTCACTCTTGCTTCCAGGAAGCCTGAAGGCAAGGAAAACGTGGAGATGAAATTACTGTGGATTCCCTCCCTGGATAGATGAAATACCCAGACTCTGTCACAGTCTGGATACTGTCCAAGGTCTTTATCTTATGCTTTTTCATATTTTTATGTCAGGAAAAAGGAAAAACAGAAAATGCAACACCCCACCCACAAAATCCCTCCAAATCTTAATAGATGATAAAATCCTGTCAAGCTTGTATACACTCTACTGATTAATTCTCTGCTCCACCCTTGTCACAGGTGGGCCCAACTATTTTCACAGCCAACTGGTGAACAAAACCAAAGGAGGTGTCCCTCAGCCAAGCTGGAAAAGGATCCAGTTACTGCAAAAAAAGAGAAGGAGGATAATAAAATCACTCTGGTTTTTTTCTGCAAAAAAGGGGATGGTGAAGGCAAGGCTGCCCCCAGGCATCTTTAACTTATGCTCTGACAGGTTATGGGGGATTTTGCCAGAGTAATTATTTTTCTATTCAACAATAATGAGAAATTACCATGGCAACCTCCCTTTCACGTAGTGCACTCACACGTTCAAACATCGAAATAATGGCCTAAACATAAAAAAAAAAAAATTTAATACTTTTAAAATATTTTGTCTTAAAATAAACTTAAGGAATGGGTCAAAGGAGAGAAAAGGGCAGAGGGAGCCAGCAAGGTGGGTCAGAAGTGAAGCTGCCATGCTGCTGGAGCCAGCTACCCAAGCAGCAGAACGTCTTCCGCCATAACTGCTATTATTCCCTCTGATCCCCTTCACCTCTGGCATTATTTGTAATTTGGAGCATGGCTCAACTCTGAATAGGGTCTTCAAGTAAATGGAATCCCAGGGTTTCAATATTTGTTCCTTACTCTGATTTCTTTGGCAAATGTAATCAGATTGTAAGTACAATGATGTTCTTTTTCCCCCTCCATCTAGCAGTCCCAAATATTCATGTGTGATCTGAGAGTCAAGCTGCGTTCTTCTTTACACCTTGTACACTTGCATGATTAAGAGTCTCTAAGCCAAACGAAGCTTTTCAACTTGCCTGTGATGGTGATTGCTGAACCCAAATAGATCTTTCAACTGGAGTATAAGGCCAACTGAGATTATGGCATTTTCTCCAAATTCCTTTATTTTTACTTAATGACTTGGGAGGATGAATGGAGTTAATGTAAAAAAACAGTACAGGAAACCATGCTCAAGGGAGAATGCAGATATCTTGTAGGATAAAACTGGAATTCAGAATTATTTTGATAGATTGCAGAAATGATCTGAAATGAAGATGAAGTTTAGTCAAGTGAAGTGACAAAAGCACAAATACAAAATGGGGAATAACTGGCTAAGCAATACTGTAGAAAATGGTCCAGATCATAAAGCAAATATGTCAGCAATCTGTTGCTTTTGCAAACATGGGAAATGTCTTAGATATAATTCCCTCCTGATCCAGCAAACACTTCTCTGGAAAGACTTCAACTGGAATAGTCTGTCCACCTCTGGAGTACTGTGAGGCCAGGCCTGAGCCACCCACTCTTAAAGAACTTATCCGAGAACAACAGGAATCATTGAGTCTAAAGACACAAACAAACAAGCCAACCCCAAAAGACTCATAGGAAGCAAGGCAGAAAGACTTAAATGTGTTTAGTATAAGTCAGAAGCTCCTTGGAAAGGGAATGTGATGACAACCATATGAAAAGATTGCTATAAAGAAGATCAATCACTTGTCCATGATGGCTAACAGTAGGAGAATAATCGGCTCAATCTGCTGCCATTGCAGGTTAAGTGGTTTAATCCCCTGCTATAGATTTCTAGGCTAGTGTTTTGCATCAGGGAAAGAGCCACAGAGCATGGCTACTGTGTTCCCAAGAAGAGGAGACACAGAGGAGCCTCAGGCAGCGCTGCCCTATCGCAGCAGCAGCTCCACGGCTTGTACTCAGTGAGAAATGGACTTTTGTTTTCTGCCTCACATCACTTTTGGCCACACACATATAACAGGTGTAAACAGTATATTAAAAATAGAATCATGGACACAAGTAAACGTGATTCTGAATACACACAGAAAAAACATCTGTTCTAAAATGGGACCTTTTTTCATATATAATCACTTCTTGGGGAAGAACTGAATTCTAAACATCAACCTATATGGCTTGGCATTGGACAAGGCAAAAATAAAAAGAGATAGTGCCCTTGGGAGCTTACATTTTTCTTCTGGCACCTACAACCCTTCCCTATTGACAATTACTATTTTCAGAACTCTGTACATCCACACTCCTGTTGGCAAGATATGCGCTTCTCATATTCTTTCAAGTTAATACTGCACAAGGAAACTGCCGTCTCCCCAAGGAGAGAATGGTATTTCTCCCCTCCTCCCATTCCCAGGAAATCAAACTACACTTCAGCCTTTAGTATGCAGTTCAAGATAAGATGTTGCCATTAAATAAACCTGTAAAAACTGCACAACCATTGTAAACTATGAAATTTACAGGGTAAGTTTCATTAAAAAATTCTAATATTAATGTTTATTCAGAGAGCCCACTTACAGACCATTAAAAGCCTGAATAAGAGAAACAAATATTTTCCCCATTAGCTTTAAATTAGACTCGTCTTGAGACTACCCAACATATTTAAGGTCCTGATACAAATTTCATGGAAGTAACAAATTAACAGGAACTTATACATCTTAATTTTATACATTTGGACATTTGAGTAGTGATCTGTAGATCTGGCCTTGCAATGCACAATGTTTTCATAATGTAGTGTAGAGGAGGTTTAAATACATATTTAAAATACATAAATACTATACGAAATACCAAATCTTAAATTGATTTTCCTGGAAACCGTATGAACAGAGTGAGAGTATAACACTCATATACAGTATGTAGGTGAGAAATCCATATAGTCAAATGGTTGTCTATTATACAGATATAAGAAGATGCACAACTATTTTACATTCACA